GCACCAACAGATATTCACCAATATCTGCAAGGCATTCCAGATGTAATTTTTCAACAAAATAATGCCCTATCACAAACAGTTCAGGCCAGTCTATCTCAGCTTGACTACACATTTGTCAAATACCCTTTTTTACACATGGAACAAACAGTAAACTCAGACTATTACTACATGGTATACAACAGCCAAGGAACAATACTCATTAGCCTGATACCATGTCAGGTTTAGCAAAATTGGGATCTTATTTCTTGACAATCCTGTATTATAAGTCATTGAAGCATTGCCTGTATGACATGTTTTTGAGTCTATTCATTGTGTAACATCTTCCCTGTCACAGTGTATTTTTGTCTAAAGTGTATTTTAAAAATTTCTAGAGTAATTCCTAAATCTTTTCTGGAATTTCATCACATTACATAAGTACAGTGGGGAAAAATACCAGAGTAAGACTTTTTTTTTTTTTTTTTAAATCTTATGAAGCTTCTTTTTGTACAAAATGAAAGTTATGAAAAATGAGATATGTTTTGGAATCAAAGATTTTTCAAAGGTACTAGTTTTTTTTGAAATTACAAGTTTTCAAAGTTACTAAATTATGAATAGTAGTATTGTTCATAAATTATTAAGTCAATTACTGAAAACAAATATTTCCTAGATGTAATTTAATGCTTAATTTCTTCACCTTATTTTCTCAGAATAAGTAAGTCTTTTTTTCTGGTAACAGAATAGAAATTAAGGCATGTGTCTTAGAGTTGAAGAAATACTACCGTAATTTCGTTTTTAAAGGCCCGTCCACACGAGTACGCTCGAAACGTAGCTGACGAACGCGCTTTTACGTTACCATCGTAAAAGCGGTCCAAACAGTACGCTTGCAAAGAGTGCGTTTAACCAATAGAATTATTTTGCGCAAAAATCACGTGACGCTGTAATATAGCGTCAACAGAGCTGTATCTTACTATTTCGCTGTGCTTCTGTATGTTTGCGGCAAGTTGTCCGAATCAGATGATTTTTTTATACCTTAAACTTTACTATTAAGTGCAATTATTAAGCAGAGGCAAAACCGCAAAAAATGGGTCCGAAAGATTAATTTAGAGCGACTTGTTCAGTTTTTTTTTTTACTGCCTCGTTTGCGAAATGAATATCCGGAATTACTAAATTCCTACTATTAGCTCAGACTCTCCCTATACCTTGTTCAAATTCTGTACATAAAATGCTTTTTATTCATTCACTCAAGTTCAAATACAACTTTTTAAACTTGTAGTGAATGGCACTTGATGTTAATACAGTTTTTTCACATATTAAAATTTTTAATTTTAAAGAATTCTGTTTGTATTTTTATTTATTTATTTTTGTATTTTTTTAATTTTTCTTTATGGATCTAAGTAGGAATTGATTCTTTTTTTTTTTTTTTTTGTTTTTTTGTATATTACTTGTTTTTTAATTACTTCAGGATGAATATCGACCAGTTTGACAGACTTGCAGATTCTATATTGTATGAAATCCCTCTCCCTTGGTCTTTTGTTTTTCTTTTTATTTATTTTTGAAATTAGAATGAGGTTCAAACTTTGGACAGTTTATGAGAAATTATGTGCATGATAAAATATGCAATAAAATAAAAATAAAGAGAGAATTTATAGATGATATATGATAAAGAGGTGCGGACATATTATTACATAAGGATTTCTATTTGCAATGCACATTTTTAAACTAAATTAAAAACAATAATAATAATGAATAAAATAAGAAATGAAAACAATAATAATAGGTAAAATAAGAATATAATGATTCATGATTAAATATAAGAAACACGTTTCAAAATGAGAAAAGCTAAGTGAATTATATACTGTCTACGGGTGAGGTTCGAACTCGCCACCTTTCCATTTGCAAGACAGCGCACTAACACTCAGCTATCTGTGATACCAGTGTTTGTGAAAAATAATGTAACAAGTAGAAGTCGCTGCAAAGGTAATTTAATTAAACTTCAATCAATGATTGCTGTATGACACAAGTTGTAACTTTCCTCCAAAATTTCGTAATTGTATTTTATTGAATAATCTTTCACAGTCAACTGCTTTATTTTAGAAGTTGTTATATTGCTGAAGTTAGTTTTTGGTGTATTTAATATTGGGATATTTATAGAGCTTTTTATAACACATGATGTAGCCAATATTTATAATAATTAAGGAGAATTTGTAAGGCAGAAACTTTGATTTTGTAGAAACTGTAATTTATTTATAGGTTCCTATTACTTACGGTGTTATAATAGGTAAAGCATATGGATATACTGGTAGGATCATTGCTTTATAAATATACAGTTTTCCCCTTTAATAAGAATTTTAAATTTATAGCAATATATACGGTTTGAGAAATCTGAAGATGGCATGAACAATGCTGATAATTTTATTGCTGTATACATATATGATATTTCTAAGGAAAAACTCATCTCTATGTGGTTCTGACACCATATTGAAACGGGTAAGCAAGAAGGTTTTCTGATTATGACACGTGATAAGAACTCGGTCGGCTATTGCCTATACGAACGTGTCGCGTGCGAAAAAGCTGAACAGGAGCGTACTCAGTTTTACGTCTTCTGCGTCACGTGAATTTACACCGGCGTCAAAAAAGTTGCATCAACTACGTCGCAAGTGTCCTCATGTGGCAGGCCTTAAAACTTAAATTTTCAGCAGGTGCGGCATTAAGGTGCACTAAAAATAAAATATTTCCTATGATGGTCATTGTACATAGACTGGTGTTGTTCCCACACAAAACACAACTCAGTTGCTTTTTTGCGAACGTTACTTTGTTTACATTCTTTCCCTTGAACGGACCTACATGCCATATTCACTCTAAACGGGATCTCAGAACAATAACATTCTTCCTTCTTTCAAATCAACATTCTCATCAGTTTGAATAGTCTCTCTCCTCTGCCACTCGATGAATCTTCCACGACCCATCCTCTCCCCACCCACCTTTTCTGCAATTTTTTTCAAAGGCAGACACGACTGCACCTGCCTCGCAATGACGAACTCTGACGTATTCCCCCTTCAGCATGAATCGATTTTTCTTGGCATTCTACCAGATACAGATCCCATCAGTTTGGGTACAAGTACTTGTCGGATAGTTTTTAAGTAAGAAGGAAGCGGAAATTTTTGAAAATAGCACTTAAACAACACAGAAGCTATACTGCTGGTTTTAAGCTTAATGTAATTTCATGTGCTGAACAAATTGGAAATAGAGCAGCAGCTCGAGAGTTTGAAATGGACGAGAGATGTATTCGACATTGGAGAACTGAAAAAGAACTTCTTAAAAATATGCCACAAGAGAAACAAGCCAAAAGAAGTGGTACTGTAAGGTGGCCAAATTTAGAGGACGACCTTGCAAACTGGATAAAGGAGCAACAAGGAAAGGGAATGACAATTTCAACTGTAAAAATTTGCTTACAAGCAAAATTTATAGCAAAACAAATGAACATAAATGATTTCAAAGGAGGGCCTTGCTGGTCTAGCAGATAAATGAAAAGAAAAAATATTTCTGTGCATACTAAAAAAACAGTCGGGCAACAATTACCAATGGACTGGCAGGATAAAAAGGCATCTTTTCTAAAATATGTGACAGATATTATTGACAAAAAAAAAAAAAAAAAAATTCTTCGGTCACAGATAATAAATATGGATGAAACGCCGTTAGCTTTGGACTCTCCTGCAAACAGAACTGTTGATGAAACTGGTGCAAAAACCATATCTGTGCTTACGACGCGGCATGAAAGAATGTCATTTACATGTGTGTTAGCTTGTGCCACAAACGGTGACAAGCTAAAGCCAATGATCATTTTTAAACGAAAGACTATTCCGAAAGGAGATTTTTCCTAATGACGTAATTATTTGTGTAAACAAGAATGGCTGGATAAGCGAAACAATCATGCACGAGTGGCTACAAAATGTTTGACAGTGCCATAAGGCATCTTTTTCCAACATTCTATGCATGCTCATTTACTTGAGCCAGTAAAAACCAGATGTCAAAAATTGTCTACGACCGTAGCAATAATTCCTGATGGTTTGGCAAAAATCTTACAACCATTAGATTTGTCAGGTAATAAATCCTTCAAAGCTGAAGTCCGAAGCAGTGGGAGTGTTATATGAGTGAAGAATTGTATATGTATACCAAAAGTGGTAAAATGTGTAGAGCATCTTATGAAGAAGTTGCACAGTGGGTAGGAAGTGCGTGGAAATCGGTAAAAATATCGTCAATAATAGCAGTGTTCAAAGAAGCTGAAATTATATCCTTAGATAAAGAGACTGTAAACCAAGAGGATAAATGTGACGATCTGGAAGACTTGAACTTAGATCAGGATTTACTAAATCTTTTTAATTCAGATAGTGAAGAATCAGATTTTGATGGCTGCGTATAATGTATAGTTTGCTGTAATTCCTTTTGTAAGTAAAATTTAAAATTTCCTTTTGTCATTCAAATTTAATATTTCGTTTTTGCAACATTTTTTATAATATAGTCTGAGTATTACAACTATGGACTTCTTTAGTGGGTATATACATGTTTAGTTCTTAGTATATACATGAATGTAAATATATTTTCAACATTTCTTACCTTTAATTTATTTTTGAGTTATGGTTTCCTTTCATGCATTTTTCTTAACTGATATGTCATATATCAGGACTTAGGTTGAGATTTTGCATCTATACGGCCCACTACGATGTCACACCAATTTATCTATTGCGGCGTTTCTGTGTAATTTTAATTTCTTCTCACCATTTTTCTCAAGTGCGCCGTTTACGCTGATGCGACCTTTCTTCCAGAAATTATGGTAAATATTAACCATACATTGCGCTGTACTTTATAATTATGTCACATGCTGTATATTGACCAAGAGAAGCAAAAAAGGCTTGCTAACAGATTTCTTGATGCAATACTGAATTTTGAATAAATGAGTCTAGTAATTGTTAAATTTACTTTAAAGAATTATTGCACATCAACCCAAAATTCATCTACAGATAAACAAATTCAATAAAACATTTTATTTTCAAAAACATATGTATATAAAAATACTTTCTTCATTTAAGTATATACAGCAGATTTGATACTGGCTTCAAAAAGTTCAGTTTAATTTAATATACTATCCAGATCTGGATTATTCTTTATACAATTCCAACTATTAATAAACACTTGTCTCACATGATGAAATGCTTCACTTATAAATACAGCTCGAGCTGTATTTGTCAGATCAAATGGTTCTGAAAATAATAAATTAAAAAATGTAATTAAAAAATTAATAAAATTAAATAAATAAATCTGAAATATACATGAATTATGACTAAAATATTTTAATAAATGTCAATAAAAATAAAACAATTATTATTATAATTTCAATAACGCTAATTTATCATAATTATATTTCTTAATGTTACTTAAGCACTGAAGAACTGCACACCCTGCTTGAAAAGTAACCAACAGGAAGCCCACGGGGAAGTTTCTTCTGGTGAGGAAGAGAACATAAAGGGTTCATACTTGCATCCATCAAGGACCATTTGATGACAGAATGGGAAAAGATTTGATCACAGCTAAATAGTAGCATCTCTGTCATGCTGAGGTGAATGGAATGGCATGTCGCAGATTTTAATAAGTTCTTTCAAAATGTATAGTAAATGATACAGCAATAATAGTTAATTTATATCTTTGTTCATAAAAACAAAAAGCGGCTTATCGAGAATCATTCAGGGTTGCATCAAACAAAAGGGCAGATGTTATGAAAGTATTGCACTGTTACTGTTGGCTTAATGTTTTGTTTTGTTTCCCTTATGCAAATTTGATCAGAGGCCAGTCAGCAGTACATTAATGTGATTCCTGCTGACGATATGTTGTGATGTATTTATACGACGGAGTCAGTGAACTCGGGTCCACTCACTTTCTGTTTTACTTTGGTTTTAATATAAAGGTTGCTTTTGCAGGCTAATTGCTTTAATTTATGAGTAAAATAAACATTAGCTTTGTTTTAAATAAGTTAATTATTTTTGAAAAGCAAAGTATGCTTTTCAACAGATTGCTGTACTTTACATGACAAAAGTTAAGTCACGCATATCTATAACTGATGCTAAATCATGCTATTTGGGAACAGTTTCACGGTCAGTGGGATAAAAGGTAAGAATCCTGTTGCAGACTATGTTTCCTCTTTGACTGTGTCTCCTTAATATCTATGTTATATTAACAAAGAGAATTTTACTCTTTATTGAAATAAATAATAGTTCATATAGTAAAGCAGACAACCATAACCAGTTTAAGGAGAAGTGATGCAAAATCAGTCACAATGCAAAGCCTAAAGCAGTAACTGAATAAAATCACATGCCCCTAACTCTATGATTAAGCTCACTACCACTTCCAGCACAGCTCTATTTATAGAACTGCCCAAGCATTTCAGGAAGTTTAGAAAAAAATTGCTCCTAAAGTTATCAAAAAATGTTTTCCAGAAATTTTCATAGCATTGCTGTAGGCAAAAAATTGGCATATGTCACAAAGGCTTATAGAGAGATTTTGTACATATCTTTGGATCTGTCTGAGCTATCTTTACAATAAAAAATACATCAAATCAGAATTACAAGGCTTATAACAAGATACATAAAATACAGAAAGTGGCAAAAAATTTAAACAAAATAATTATATAAAATGTATGAAAAAAAATATATATATACAGTCAAAAGTTGTTAATCCGGACTCGTAGGGACTTCGGCGATTCCGGATTATAGATCATCAGTTTAAATCTGGTAAGATGGCATGCAGAAATTCTAAAATTACAAATATGAAACTGTAATTTATGAAATAAAGAGCAATTATGATCTAAAGGGTATCAAAATTTACAAAAAAAAAAAAAAAAAAAAAAAAAAGCTTAATATTTATTTGTTTACTTTATTAACCCCTTAACTGCCGTGGGCGTATATATACGCCTTGCTCAGCCGATGCGTTAACTGCCCCAGGCGTATATATACGTCCTTCCAAACTGCTATCATTTGCTTTGCGCTGCTACACCTAAAATTATTCGCAAAGTTAACGCATCGGCTGAGCAAGGCGTATATATACGCTTAAGGGGTTAAACATTTCTTTCAATGTAAGTTGTTTAAGTTGCTTCCTTTTATGTGATAATACTTTCTGTTTAATTCTATAATCAGACATAATTTCTTGTTCAGTTACAAAGTTCCGCTGTTCATGTCCTATAATTGCTGTGTCGAGAATACCGACTAATTTGTCAATCGAAATTTTTTCGTTTTCAATAACCTCTGCGTCACTTTCTTCACTATCGGAAGCGAATTATAATGACGAGAAATTTTATTTAAATCTTATCAAAGACGGAGTACATCGAGATGAAATACTGCATTTAGTAAGGAATTATAAGCCAAATAAAATAAAAACATCTGGTCTGAAGATAAGGATAGTGCTGACAGATCAACTTCCAATTCATTGCGCGCCGCGGCTTCTCCCCCCCCCCCCCGCCGAAGAGCAGCGCGAAATTGATAAACAGATTTTGGAATGGTTAGAGAAACAAAGGATATGCCTTTATCCATTTTTTTGAAGCAATTCCACTTTTTGTTTGATGGACATCAAAACATACTTTCGCTTTGCAGATCCTTTGGGAGCTCCAGCATCGGGAATTCTATTTGACATAATCGAAAGTTCAAGCTTACTTTTATAAAATTGCTCTAACAGTCTTTAAAAAATAATAAGCCGGATCCATTTCGAAGATTAAGGAACAACGCTATCTGCAACATTAACTGAAATAGATAATTAGATAATTTTAGCTTATACCGTCCGTTATACATTAAACGCGCACGCGTAAATGTATTATGCGCATGCGTAAACACCCATAATCATTCCGGATTATGGGTGTCCGAATTAACGACTTTTGACTGTATATGAAAATAATACATAGCATATTATGTTATTAACATATTATTAAATAATACATAATGTATGTAAAAACAGAATATAACTAAACATAAATATATGCATAAATTTTCAATAATATTCTCATAAATTAAATTAATTCTCATAAAAAAGAATTAAAATTATTCATAATAATCCATTACATAATATATATCTTAAATACTGCAACACTAAATTTCTCAACTAAAAATAGTAATAATTAAATAAAAATTTCATCACATCAAAAGAGAATTTTTAGAACTCTATAAATATCTAATAAAAGTCAAATGTGCAGCATATAATGACAAAAGTAAAAGGAAATTATAAAAAAGAGACAGAGATAACAGAAGAAAATTAAGCACTTTTAAGAACTGCACAAATGCTTTTACATTAATTTAATAGTTATATAGTTTTATAAATAACAAAATAAATATTAATGTGTATTATTTATTTATGTACAAAATAAGTTAATTCTTAGCAACTACAGGATATTTGACAAAAGTTTGGAAAGATATGAATTGCAAGAATGTTTTCTTTTAAGGGGAAGTGGGTGGTAAACATTTACCGTAAATTCATTTACACTCATGACTTAATATGTTGTTTAAAAATTGAAAATTAGGTCTGTGGCGTAGCTACAGGAATTTTACTTTGTTTTTAGAACTTCAATAGTTTAGACTGTTAAGTGCAAGTGAAACAGTTAATGTAGAATTCACTGCAACGTTTTAGCCTGATACGAGCGCTCAGATTGCGGTAAGCCAGCGTAGCAAGTTTGAATTCATGTGAAACACACCTAACTGCAACAGGGTGTACTTGGCGTAAAGACATTGCAATGCATGTACTTTCTGCTGAACTCTGTGGTTTTATCTGTGCTTTCTGATCCTCATCTTCTTTTTAACCCTTTGGTGCACGCAATATTATTTTTATAATTTTTTAAACTAAAAACTCTACAAATTGGATATTATGATCCTAGAGACAAATAATATATGAATTAAAAAAAATCTACTTTTGCCCATTGTTTCGTGGGTGGTGATCACACTGTGAAACCACTGCACGTCTAGGACTTTGAAACTTTCCAACTTACCTAGGTAGTAGGAAAAAAAAAAAACTTACCTTTTTTCGTGTGCATTTCTAATAAATGACGAAATTTACGAATTAAAAAAAATGCATGTAAGAATTACATAATATATATATTTTACATTATTTTACAAACTAAATCATCTGAAAAAATTAAAAAAAACATTTAAGCAATTTTTCTATAACAGTGAAAGTACCTACATAATAAGGACGTTTTGCTACATGGATTTAAAAAAAACTCAGTAAAATAAGGATAAAAAAAGACTCAGTGTTTTTTTTTTTTTTAATTTCAAAGAAAAAATATTTTCTGTGACACTGTTCAAAGCATGTTTTGTCTTTTTGGTACATTGCATGTTTCGCACATATATCTTCTATGATGTTTCTTCGTAGTGCTACAAATGTACAATGATTGGATCCAAATTTCAATATATGTCCAGCGTTATTTAGTTTCTTTTCATCTGGCACATGACATTTATGGTTTTTTTATGTTAATGGGGAGGGGGGGGCTTGGTCTTTTTGCTTTGGTACGGATCATCTGTTTCCCACTCATACTTATTTTATTCGTATTTTGTCTCAAAATATTCAGAAAATTTGTTTAATTTAATTAAAACTTTACACGATTTCTATTTTTAATTACAGCAAAGTATATTTACATTAAATTTAAACCACAGGAAATAATTTATAAAATCACAATACTAGCTTGGGGAGCAAGTGTGCTGAGGTCAGAGAAAAGTCTCTGGAAAAGAAAGACCTTTTAACTGGGCAGGTGCATGTATTGTTTAGTAATAAAATAACTCTGTGATTTCAAAACCCCTTATCTATATCCGGGTAAAAATAAACTTTCCTATTTGAGAAGCAAGCATACGCCATTGTGAAGAGCAGTGGTTTCAAGGTGCAACCACCAAGCCTCATTGTGTCTCAATGCTCTAGAGGGGCAGTGGTCGCACCCTGAAACCACAAAGCAAATGCCATACATATAGAGTTTTTTTTTTTTATATATGCTGTTTAATTATTGCTATTTTTTATTGTTTATGATAGAAATCATGATGTGCGATGAATAACTTTTGAAATTTAAAGTTGTTTATATTAATAAAAGGAAGTTATTTTGTCTCATTGAAAACGAATTTTAAAAGGCATCCGATTTGAAGTACTAAGACATAAAACATTTATAATTCTGCAGTCATTTTGTGTTATTTAGAGGTAAAAGATCAGTAATCAATTGATTTTCACTCAAAAATTTCGGAAAGAAGAGGAGAAAAAAATTTGAAAATTGGTGGTTTCAAGGCGCGACCACCGCGTGTCAAAGGGTTAAGTTTCACAGGACTTTTATTTCACCGAATTTTGTGTTTATTCTTACATGTGTCTCACTGCTTTGTGGCTTATTGTTTACTTTATCATTTGCGCTCACAAATTAGTAGTATGGTTCAAAGAAGGAGTTATACAGCTGCTTTTAAGCTTCTGGCAGTGAAAAAAGCATGAGAAACTGGAAATCAGGCTGCAACTAGAGAATTCCAAGTTACATGCATTCAGCAATGAAACAAGCACTCTTAACAAGAAGCATTAGAGAAAATGTCTAAGAAGTACAGATCTTGTTGGACTGGTGTCATAGCTTGACCTGTTTTGTAAAACAATTTCGAGAAATGGACAATAGAGCAGGTAAAAAAAAAAAAAAAAAAAAAAAAAAAAAAAAAAAGGCTTATAAATATCAATAGTTAGAATTTGCCTTAAAGCAAAAGTAACAGCTCAATAAATGGCCCTTAAAAACTTTGTTGGAAGACCTAATTTTTGTTTTCAGGTTCATAAAGTGAAAGAAATTATCTGTCAAAATTAAAACAACAGTTAACCAGAAGCTTCCTGTAGATTGGCTTGAAAAAGCTTTTTGGAGTACACATCTACGAAAATTAAAGAACAAAATTTGAAAAGAGGGTAAATACAGTCAAAAGTCGTTAATCCAGACGCAATCCGGAATTATCTATAATCTGGACCTCAAAGCTACAAACTTTCTGCACATGCGTCAATGCATGATGCTTTTACGCATGCGCATAATACGTTTACGCATGCGCGTTTAATGTAGAACGGACGGTATAAGCTAAGCTAAAATTATCTAATTATCTATTTCAGTTAATGTTGAAGATTGTGTTGTTCCTTAATCTTTGAATTGCATCCGGCTTATTATTTTTTGCAGACTGTTAGAGCAATTTTATAAAAGTAAGCTTTTAACTTTCGATTATGTCAAATAGAATTTCCGATGCTGGAGCTGCCAAAGGATCTACAAAGCCGAAGCATGTTTTGATGTCCATCAAACAAAAAGTGGAATTGCTGCAAAAAATGGATAAAGGCATATCCTTTGATTCTCTAATCATTCTGAAATATGTTTATCAATTTCACGCTGCTGACAATCTCAGACAGGTGAGAGAAGCTTTGTATGAAGACTTTGCCTTGTGGGTTGTAAAGCACAACAATCTGTCTGAACTGCACGATCATATCATCTTTCATTAAATTAAAAATCATCACAAAAAATAAATAAAGATAGTGACACTGAAAGTGGTTTAGAACAGAATGATGAAAATGACTTTGATGATTATTTGTTAAGCTTTCAATTCAGACATTACGAAGTTGAATTTTGAAGGTTTTATATAAATACATGTAGTTTATTTTAATTATAAAAATTCTGTTAGATTATGTAATTTATGTATTCTTTTTCACAATATGGTAGTTTACAATTAAATACAAAGTTTGTAGAAAATGTAAAAATAACATCTATTAGAAATCCGTTTGTTCTGGCAAGTACAAAGTAAAATCATTTACTTTTTATTTAATTACAGTTTATATTATGTTGTTTTTAAATGTTATAAAATGTTATGAATGATTCATCAACATAGAAGGGGATTACTGAATAAATTGATATTGAGTTCCATGTTTCAGAATGCTCTGCTGTGGTGTATATGGTGGTGTAGCTTATTTGACTAACTTATATTTTTTTAAAGTCAATCATCCTGTGTGGAACATATATGCCAGGATGGCTTATCTATACAAAATTATGGTAGCTCAAATTTTTACATGGGCAGTGTACAGTTCCACATCAACTGTCCTAAATCAGAATACCACTGAAAAGATATTACATAGCTTATCATATTGGCAGATATCATGAACAGATATGACATATAACAGATTTCTTATAAGGGACTTTATTTACTTCAGTATTATTCTGATCCTGATTGCTATTATCAATATGACACTAGGTCATTTTTTAGGAAGGTTAGATCCAATTTTTACTTTTTCATCAAAATTATGCCTTGTCTTTGCAATTCATTTTTATATAAATTACATTCATATCCATTTATTCATTTCTTTTAACAAATTTTTTTAGTTATTATGGATTTTTATCCCCCCCCATTTCTATGCACTTAAATAAATCAATACTGCATACTCCCTTTTCTTGAATACTTATACTCTAAGCAGTTTTGACAGTAAACAGATCATTTAATAATGTTTCTTTTAAACAAACAAACTTTGTTTTTTTATCAGTTGGACATTAAGGCTTAATTAAATATACACAAATATTATTTCAGATAAATTCATATATTCTGTTGGTTAAAACATTTGGTATTTTCTGACTGCCTGCCATCAATCTGAAGAGTATTCACCAAGCAACATGCCACATTGCAAAAATAGGCAACCCATGATGTTGCCAAAATATATTTATATGTCAACCCGAGTATGCACATCTGCAGCAGGTGAGCATTGATTTCCACCTTCAGATTTGACAGTCTTTAGGTTTTTTTTTTTTTTCCTTTTTGTAGTAGTGAGTGCCATTTATTTTTGTTGTAAGGAACAGCGGCGGCTTGTAATAAGCACTGTGGAACTGCAGCACCCCCTATTTCCACTTATTATTATTTTTAATATCTAATATAGTGTGCCCTTTAGTCTTTAATTCTTTCTTTATACTTTTACAATACATAATCCGTAAGCTTAAGGTCAGTTGCCATCCCCTACTTTGTGAAAAAGGTACGAAATTCTTTGTTTGGAACTGCGCGCTTCTCAGTCCCAGCGACGGGGTGCTTGGCTGTTCTGCGCATGCACGCACAGAAAACAGTACGCGAGCCGAGATGTGAGAAGAGCACTGTCGCTCTTGCAGTGCTGAAATTCTGGCATGTGTTAGAAACGTGATTTCTTTTTACTCCACGCGTGTGGTATTCCTCCACGAGGTGGAACTTCATCATACGGACCATAAACAGAGTTCATGAAAATTTGCAACCTTTAAGAATTGCCTTAAAGAAATTCAATCAACATCAAATGCAAATCAAACTATTGCAAAAGCAACAGGTATTTTAAAAAAAAAACCTATATGATGATTATTTCAAGTTTTGGTTAGAGCTTTTTTTATCAGATGCCTCATGTTGAAATAATATACAACTAAATGCAATCCAGAGAAATTAGTGTGTTGTTTAAAGTTAAAAAATATATAACAAATTTCAAAACTGCTATTTTAGAACTAAGAAACTCAAAGTTCTGTAAGAATTTTTGAAAGACACTGATGGCAGAAGCTAAGGAAATATGTGACTTTATACTATGTATTGATATAATGCACAGATATTCTTCCACTAAACACTTAGCAGCAGCTAAATTGTTAAACAAGAAATGCTTCGCTAGTTTTAGGAATGAACACTCTACAGAAGAAATTGTACAGACCACTGAAGCATATTTAATGACTGACAAAGAAAAGCTTGAAACTGAACTGGAAGTATTCTATTGTAGGTCTGATATCCATGAATACTGAAAATTAATCGAGCTACAGAAATTTATCTAAAAAAATAATCTAGATGATGTTCTTAGTGAAATTACGAAACAGACAAAAAAATTCTCTTGAGAGTTCCCATGACTACATCAGATGCAGAATGCTGTTTTTCAACATTGAAAAGAATGAAAACTTTTCTAAGAAGGACTAGGAATTCGGAAAGACTAAATGCACTTGCATTGATTTCAATAAAGAAAAATTTCCTCAGTTGTCATCCAGAGATCAAGGAGAAAATTATTGATCTTGTCGTGCAAATTAAAACAAGAAGAATGGATTTCATTTTTAAATGAATAGACAAAGATTTAACTAACAATTTTGGTTAAAGTAATTAAGAAATGTTTAATTTTTTTTTCTTGTAAGATTTCATGAAGTTTCAAAATAAATTTTCTTTTTATACATGTTTATTTCCTTTTAGACAATTTTAAAACAAAGGTTAAATTTTTTTGGACCCCCACTAATTTTAGCCACGAGCCGCCACTGGTAAGGAATCATAAAAAGTGTATTTTGCCTAACAGTAGAGAAGGCAAAAGCTCATATTCTATGAAGTAATATTGTTAAATAAATCGATATCATATGAAGAAGCAAGTCGAAAAATAAAAAACGTATCTTTTCACATTTTTTGTTGAAACTTAACAACACGTGCACAACATTACATCGGCATCCATAGCTCACACACAGAGAAGAGAGAACTTGGTGTTGCCAATACGGTAAATATAAATGTACCAAACTAACACGCCTCCTTACATTTATATTTACTAATTACAAACAAACATAGATATAAGCAATCTTTTCATCTTTATTACCATTTACAATTACGCATAGATATAAACAATAACATTCAACACTTAACACAAATTATTTTAAAAAAAGTTTCTTTCATTAACTTAAATGTTAAAATCAAAGTTAAACACAATTTAGTTTACATAAGGACATTACCAAAATCTATTTCATTTCAAGCAAATATATTTAAATAAACATCACTTAAATAAACAGTATACAAAATTTATTTCAATTTCAAACCTTCTCTAAATTTCATAAATTTAATCTTTCCTAAAGACTTAGTAAAGATATCTGCAATATTTGATTCTGAATCAATCTTTACAATTTCAATTACTCCATTTTGAACATTTTCGTGAACATAGTGATATTGAACTTCTATGTGTTTTGAATTTTTAGTGAAGTTCCCATAATTAGCAATAGCCAAAGCTCCTGAATTATCTTCATAAATTTTAATGGGGTGAGTTATATCAGCAAAAACATCATTCACAACATTTTTCAAGAAATTAATTTCTGTTGCAGCCTCAGATAAAGCAATATATTCGGCAAAAGTGGAAGATTTTGTCACACAATTTTGCTTTTTGGATTTCCAGTAAATTGGATTACCAAATAATTCAATAACAAACCCAGTAGTTGACTTTCTGTCAACAATATCACCTGCCCAATCAGCATCAACATAACAATTCATAATATCAGTTTTAAGATTTTTACTATAGGTTAATTTTAGATGTTTTGTTAAGTACAAATACTTTAAAACTCTCAAAGCATATTTGAAATGTGTCTCATCATAACAATTTTGAAATCTACTTAAATAATTTACGCTGAAAGATATGTCTGGTCTAGTACCATGACTAATATACAAGAGTGCTCCTATTAGATTTCTATATTTGACATTTTGATTTAAATTAGATTGGCTTAGTTTAAGATTAGTCTCCATTGGTGTATCATAAAGCTTTGAATTTTTAATACCATACAGTTTAGCTAAAGATTCAATATAATTTTCCTGACTCAGTGTTAAGATATTACTTTTCTCATTATCATATTCAATATCAATTCCAATGTAGATTTTTACTTTACTTAAATCCTTCATTTTAAATTTTTTATGAAGTTGTTCCTTAATATCATTAATTACCTGAGTATCTCTGCAACATATCAACAAATCATCAACAAATAAAAGAATATATACAAATACATCATTTTCAGATTTTACATAAAGACAATAATCATATTTACTTCTACGAAATCCTAGACTCTCAATATACTCGTTAAAGCACTCATACCAAGCACGAGGGCTTTCTTTCAACCCATATAGTGCTTTCTTTAATTTATACACTCTATTCGAATTATCATTATAGCCTTGTGGCTGTTTAACATAAACCTCAGACACAACATAACCATTTAAAAAGGCAGTCTCAACATCCATTTGATGAATATTTAAATTATACTGACAGGAATATGAAAGTAACAATTTTAAAGTTTGCATCTTGATGACAGGGGAGTAAGTGTCCTCAATACTATCTTTTTGCTGAAAACCTCGAACCACTAATCTAGCTTTAAAAACATTACCTGGTTTTCTTTTGAATACCCACTTCACATCTAGAATTGCTTTATCCTCTGGTTTAGTCACTAGTGTCCAAGTGTTATTTTTAACAAGACTGTTCATTTCACTGTCCATTGCCTCTTTCCAATGTCCAGCCTCACTGCATGTTGTCGCCTCCTCAAAGTTACCTGGAACTGTAGCATCACAAAAATTTGCACTAACACAGTAGTACCCGAATTCTTCATGAAATCGAACTGGTGGTTTGATTTGCCTTCTTGGTCTCATTCCACTTTTTGTTTCATCTTCATTTATCACACTGTCCTTGGAGTTATCATTACTCGATTCACACGACACTTCTTGAGGTTCATTCTTCTTATTTGTATCATCATTCTTATCTTCATCATCACAACCTACACACATTATGTCTTCTTCAATAATATCAACATGTCTGGCAAACTATTATTCTGTTATTCATCAAAACTCTATATCCAACTTCTGTATACCCAAGTAAAATTCCAAATTCAGCCTTTTTATCCCACTTCGACTTTCTCTTTTCTTCTGGTATTCTTACATACACTCTACTTCCGTATAATTTCAATTCATTAGCAGATGGTTTCCTATTGAAAAATATTTCATATGGTGTCTTCTTTACAATAGTATTTGTTAATGTCCTGTTTTTCAAATAAGCAGCAGCTTTAATTACTTCAGGCCAGTAACGTCTGTCAACTTTTGCTTCGGCTAAAAGACATCTTGCCATATCCATTATAGTTCTGTTGTAACGCTCAGCAGTACCATTTAATTCGTGTACATATGGTGGGCATGACTTTATCTTGAAACCTTTTTCTCTTGCAAATTTGTATATCTTGCTATTCATATATTCACTACCATTATCACATCTTAGTTCTTTGATAGTCTTCCCCCTGTTAAATTTTGAATTTCATTTACATATTCAATTAAGCAATCAGAGACTTGATCCTTAGATTTGATACAATAAATTTTTGCCAACTTGCTATAATCATCAATAAAACTCACAAAGTATTTCTCACCATTACATCCAATTGTTCTGTGAGGTCCATTTACATCTGTATGTATAATCTCCAGAATATCTTCTGCTTTTCTTCTATTATTCTTGAATGGTAAATTGTGCATTTTATTTTCAATACATATGGCACACTTCATATATTCGGTTTCTATTTCTTTAGGGATTCCTTCTAATAGCTGATCTTTGCACATAATATCCAGATATTTAAAATTTACATGTCCAAATGAACGGTGCAATTTTTCTTTTAACGTTAACTTATTGTTGGTCAAATTTGCAAATATTTTACTATTTTTAACATAACTCTTTACTTTATATAATCTTTCTTCTTTCTTTGCTACTGCTACTAATGAACCATTGACATCATATATTTTAGAAAACTTTTCTTTTGAAACTATTTTATGATTATCAGTAATCTTCGAATAACTTAATAAATTTGCTTTCATTTCTTTTACATAAAATACATTCTTCAATGTTACAATAGATTCAGAGTTATATACAGGAAAAGAAACTATTATATTGCCAACCTTTGTAGCTTTCAAAATCCTTCCGTCACCGACTTTCACTTGAATAGGATCCTTCAAAGTGACTTGCTCTTTGAAATATTCATCACTGTTTATAATGTGGTCTGTGCATCCGCTATCCAGTAACCAATCGATTTCATTTTTATTCGTCACAGTATTTGCACTGGAACTTGTCATGTTACTTTCAATAACAGTGGTGTGAAAACTATTGCCTTGATGAGTGTTTATTCTCTGGTTAGAGTATGCTCCACGTTCACGATGTCCACTAAAAGCACGACTACGTCCTCGATTGTTTGAAGAACTTCGACCGCGATAATTAGTGGAGCCATTACAACGATAGTTCCTTTGATGGACATGCCAACAATTCTTTTTAATGTGACCAGGTTTTCCACAGTTATAACAGACATTCCCTTGTGGGCCCGATTTGCTTGTTTCAATTTTGAACGCATTTGATTTTTCTGCTGGTGCACAATCTTCATAATCATTTTTCTCTTCAAGTAATTTTGATTTGATTTTGCTCTTTAGGTAATCGACTGTTCTGTCCTTCTCTGGTAATACATCTATTAAGTCACCAATGTGACTGTAATTTGAAGGTAATGCTCTTAGCATATAGTTCAATTTTTCTTGTTCCGTCACGGTGGCGCCGGCATGTTTCAGTTCGTTCACATACTTCTCAAAATCATCGAAAAATATATTTACATCAGGATAATTTTTCAGTTTCACACATTCTAAGTTATTTCGACAAACAATTTGTAGAGATGTTGAAGTTTTTAAATACATTGCATCAAATTTCGTAATTATATCAAATGCAGTCTCACACTCGTGAATATTGCTTGTTTGTTATGGCGCCGTAAATGTAATTTGTAGCTTGGATATCCTTTTCTTCCCATTTTTCCACGTCATCATTTTCACTGACTTTTCGCTGAACCACATCTTTACACTTTTTAAATTGAAGAAATTTCATCATACGCACTTTCCAATTAAAATAGTCCGAACCATCAAATAGCGGTATGCCGATATCGCTGCTTCTTGTACATGCCATTTTTACGCTAGTACCGGTAACTTTTAAAACAAATTATAACTACTAAATTCTTCATTCATATTCACAAACCACACTCTGCTACCATGTTAAATAAATCAATATCATATGAAGAAGCAAGTCAAAAAATAAGAAACGTATCTTTTCACATTTTTTATTGAAACTTAACAACACGTGCACAACATTACATTGGCATCCATAGCTAGCACACAGAGAAGAGAGAACTTGGTGTTGCCAATACGGTAAATATAAATGTATCAAACTAACAAATATTTCATAAACAATCAAATTTGGTCCAAAATACACGCTAGGGCTTATTCTCAGGGGAGGGCAAAAATAAAAGTATATTTATATATTTTTATTTAATATTTATTTTACACAGAATACAGAAATTTAAATTTATTCAATTCAAGTCATGTCATCTTCTTCTGGAACATCGTCATAAATAAAATTCTGAATTATATTCTGATTTTCTTCAAATCCATTTCCTGTTGAATCATTGGTCCAAATCTCTCATGTCTTGCAAAATAGCCATCGTCGCTGCGTCGTATGTGTCTCGGGGTTACGATTGGCCCAAATTTCACCCCGAGGAGAGTCTGCCGACGCTAACGGATGACGATGCCTTTCCTGTGAACATATCTCTCTCGGGGCAAATGGTGAACTGCGTTAAGATAAATTCCAAGAATTAATTTGAAACGAACTGTAGAGGTAAACAATTAATTTCTTGGAATATTTTGTTTCAAATATTTCTCTGAAATACGAGTATTAGAAAAGCTAAACGTATTATTACTTATACTTAATAAATCAACAGAATTTTTTAACGGATTCTTTTTGTCACATTATTTTAACTAGGGCTTATTTTCGGGGGATGTCTTATTTTACAAAAAAGTTCCGAAAATCACGATAGGGCTTATTTTCGGAGGATGTCTTATTTTCAGAAAAAGACGGTATGTAAGATTAGAGGCAGCATTTGCTTTCAATTGTTAGTTTAGTGGGAGTCGATGTACCGAGATACCTGTGGGTTAGCTTCACCCCTTAGATGAGTTTTCCTTGCATTGTGTTAAATATTCTTAGCAGTTTGAAGTCCAATTACTGATTGTTCTCTGTGATACTGTGATGAGTTGTACAACTATTTTTGTGGGAAGTTCCAAAACACTGAAGTGCTTCTTTTGATAAAATAAATTTTATCAACCTATAATCGGTGCTATGTGTACTCAATCTATTATGAACCTGTACGCATGCAAAAGTATTTTTAAGCTTAAACAGATCACTGGGTACATGAGAAAAACGACAAAAGAAGGGAGGTAAAAAATTTTACATGAGTGTTTTCGAAGTTTTTAATTTTATTAACTGACTGTTATATTCTATAATTCTTAATGCACTGAAATTTTTGATGTCTGTTGTGTTTTGAGTCGTGGCTTGCAAAAAAAAAAAAAAAAAAAAAAAAAAAAAATCAGTTCTTAAAAACTGACAATTTTTTGGATATGGGTGCGAATAATCAGAAAGTATCAAATATTTTAATGAGCTATAAAAATTACTCCCATACCTTCTATACATAAAAGTTTCCAATGGGCTTTTTTGTTTCGTGGAGATGGATTCATCATAGCAATTTCCTTTGGTATAACAGATCCTAAGCGAACAGACATCACATTTTTGTAGTAACTGGAAGAGAAAAAAAAACCCTTGGTGATACAGCTGAAGTATGTGCTGAAGAATTCTACAAAGATATAGTTCACAGAAATGTTTTTGAAAGGGAGGAAAAAATCTGAAAGGCTTCAGATTTTAACAGTTTCTCAAAAGAGCTCTTTTAAAGTTTATATTAGTAGAGATTATTAACAATGATGGCCCAAAAGAAATTATGAAACATTTCATAGGATACTACATGAATATACATTTAGATTAACATGAATGGCTGTATATCTTCTGCATATCTAAAGAGTCAAAAATATGTAATTCTCTATAAATATTTAATGTCTTCAATTAACTATATCATGAATTGAATACATTTTTATTCAAATATCAGAATGAAATGTAAAAAACTAATATTAAATACTGCATCTGTTTCTTTTAAATAGCTTAATTTGGTAATCAATAACAGACTGATTACCTCTGAAAGATAAATATCTTACATTTTACCAAATCGCAATAGATTCAAATGAAAAGCGAAAAAATGCATCTACAGTAGATGACACAAAATTAATTTCCGAGCCTAATAGCATTTTGGGGCTAAAATTTACAATAAATTAAAGCAAACCATGTAATTACATACTTGAATTCCACAGCAAAGTATTTCAAAAAACCAATAAAAAGATCTCCAAGATTTTCAACATTTTCTGACTCAAAATTTGGCAAGTCTTCAAAACGTTTCAAGGTTCTAACATCAGATTCTGCATGAAATTTATCCTGCAATCAAATATATAATTTTTTTTTCAAGTTCAGATACAAAATTTAATCAATATATAAATATCTCTTCTTTATTCAGGTATAGATTTTGGGTTCGAATCACAGTTACTGATATTATGAACATTTTCTCAATTATATAATTACAACAGTCAAAAGTCGTTAATCCGGATTCGTTGGGACTTCGGCGATTCCGGATTATCGATTTTTCCGGATTATAGATCATCAGTTTAAATCTGGTAAGATGGCATGCAGAAATTATAAAATTAAAAATATGAAACCGTAATTTATGAAATAAAGAGCAATTATGATCTAAAGGGTATCAAAATTTACCAAAAAAAAAAAAAAAAAAAAAAAAGCTTAATATTTATTTGTTTACTTTATTAAACATTTCTTTCAATGTAAGTTGTTTAAGTTGTTTTGTATTTTATGTGATAATACATTCTCTTTAATTCTATAAACAGACATAAGTTCTTGTTCAGTTACAAAGTTCCACTGTTCAAGTCCTATAATTGCTGTGTCGAGAATACCAACTAATTTGTCAATCGAAATTTTTTTGTTTTCAATAACCTCTGTCACTTTCTTCACTATCGGAAGCGAATTATAATGACAAGGAATTTGATTTAAATCATATCAAAGACGGAGTACATCGAGATGAAATGGTTTAATCCTAGTATCCGGTGGACACAGGATTTGGCTACTTTTGGCAACTTTATGATGAGCAGTAAAAAACGGACATTGCGCTGAGTAGTTAACGGGTCATTCAAAGAAAATATATAGTTAAACATAGTATATACTATGTATATACACACATAGTATATAGTGTATTGTATATATATATATAGACGTTCTTTAGGTCATTTTTGGTGTTGGCGATAATTTTCAAAGTCGTGCCAAGGCTGCACCGTATACTAGGATTTTACCAGATGAAATACTACATTTAGTAAGGAATTATAAGCCAAATAAAATAAAAACATCTGCTCTGAAGATAAGGATAGTGCTGACAGATCAACTTCCAATTCATTGCGTGCTGCGGCGTTAAAGATAAACAAAGTTTAGAGATAAACAAAGGATATGTTTTTATATATTTTTTGCAGCAATTCCACTTTTTGTTAAATGGACTTCAAAACATACTTTCGCTTTGTAGATCCTTTACATATTAGTAAATATATATCAAAAATTCTATTTGATATAATCAAAAGTTCAAGCTTACTTTTATAAAACTGCTCTAACAGTCTGCGAAAAATAATAAGCCGAATCCAATTCGAAGATTAAGGAACAACACAATCTGCAACATTAACTGAATTAAATAATTTTAGCTTAGCTTATACCGTCCATTATACATTAAATGCGCATTCGTAAACGTATTTTGCACATGCGCAGTCGTAAAGGTCTTACGCGCATGCATCATCGCGACGCATGCACAGAAAGTTTGTAGCTTTGAGGTCGGGATTTTGAGTGTCCGAATTAATGACTTTTGACTGTAATTGACATAATAATATGAAAAGTTACTTTAACTGAGTGCATTTTTAGTGACAAACTTAAGAGAGGGAATATACCCAAATAACTGAATGCAAAGCTATATATGTGCAAGATAAAAAATATGTAACTCTGAATTATACATTAAATTAGCAACAGCCTCTAACTCCTCTTTTGGTTTCCATTTCTATTCTAAAAATTGTAATAACTTTTTTGAAACTGCATCATATCTGAAAACTAATTCCACATTATGTCACCTTAACCTCCTGCACTGTATATAATTTTTAGGCAATCCGATTAAAGAAAAATTCTACTATAGCTACTGCTGCAGTCCAATTACGCTCTCTCTTTCTCTGCCTATGCTTACTAGCTAAGGGATGTCTCTAGCTCAGTTGCTTCTATTCATTTTTAAAATGTAATATGTTGAAATGACAATTGCAGGGTGCGAATTGCCCCCATTGTGCTGAGCTATTCAATAGAGTAATCAACCAGTAATAAAGATATGTTTCAATTATCAAGTGATTTTGTGATTCTTCAAAAGTTCCCAGCAACTTCTACTACATAATCGATATTTTCAGTGATTTCCGGGCCTTAATCCACTGGCAACTGCTAAATGTCTTCCCTAGTCAAGAAGTCATCTTATATCAAATTTCTGCAATGAACTAAATTATCATAACAGTTTAGTCGACACTACTGGATAAGGTGTTATTCATCTCATTGGAAAACTTACTCCCCAACTGGATTTCCATAAAATATCTACAAAATTCAAATAAATGTGCCTGCTTATCTGCAGGTTTGAAAGTTCCAACTCCAGTGAAATAAAATGTAGCATTACTCTGTCAATTCAAAGCTAATCTGGTTAGGAGATTTTGTCAGTTACATTTTCAGCATTTAGGAGGAGGGGAAGGAAGTGTGCTTTAAATCATTAAAGTAATTTAATGCTTAAGCACTGTTTGTTCAAGGTCGTCAATCTGTGTTTAATGTGCTTCAAGTATGTGATAAAGAATAACTATTTGCATTTTCACTTTTCCTAATAGCACTTCATCATTCGAAAACACAAAATGATTGTCTTTGTCTGAACTTACTCAGGTTCATTTCCCAATGAGACAAAATTATTAAATATGCTGTAGACTTTATACTTTTACATCTAAATTTTGTTTAAAATTTCTGGATTACAAAAATATGAAATTGCTGTTCAAGAAATGACAGCATAACAGTTCAATATTTTTCTTAATGGTTTTGAATGCATGAATTTTGTATTTTAAATGTTATTTTGCAATGCACTTTTAATGTTGTTATCATAGTTTACACTAAATATTTTTCTTCGTCATGAAATAGATAATTTGATCATTCATTAATGTACTAAATATGTTTTAGAGACTGAAAAAATGCTAATAATAATAATTATTTTTGAGATAGAACGTTTTAATGCAGTTAAAAAAGCAAGTTTCCTTTAAATAAGGAATATAGGCCTTTTAAAAAGTACAGTACACTCCCGATTAGCCGCGGATTTGGGTGGCGCAGCCGCTGCGGATAACAAAAATCACGGATAATCGGAAAAAAGCTAAAAATGGGTGTAGCAAAAGAGAAAACAGTTATTCCAACTTCGAAAAATCATTTTATGTACAATAAAACATATAATAAACAGCAAAAAATGTTTAACTAACACTTAATATTTTAGTATATCACTCAAAACTAACCTAAAATGAATTTTGTTACTGAAAACAGAAAAGTGCTTTGTACTTATGAGAAGCGTCAAGGATACACAGAAAAATTAATACGTATGTACCGTTTTAACACTGATAATGTATTATGTAATTACAAAACATAATTGTAAAACTACACCTTTTTGAAGAAATCAGTCATTGCTTCTTGCTTTGGAAGCATTTTCTCTTGATCCGAGATTGCATTTTTTGTAGCATAAGTTTCTTGGCCAACTCCGCATCGTTTTGTTCTTCCAAATAGCTTGCAGTCTGTCGACTTTTTGCAAAGCCACTTCATGTGTGTGTGATTATGGAAAAGCCTTGAGGGCTATCTGCCTAAGGAGGGATGCCTTCGTGGAGGACTTTCTAAGGGAAATTGGCTTGTATACACGTTACACATGGGGGAAAACCCCGAAAATTCCCATGCAGCAAGCCCATTCGCGGAATTCGAACCTCGGACCGAACTACCAGTGTTAAGGGACTTTGACGCTCGGCCGCTTTTGGGCCGCCGCTTCGTGTGTCTTCCGCATCTGCACAGTGGGCTCTTCTTTGCTTTCATTCATTCTTAGTCTCTCCTCTTGCTTTCTTCACAATTTCGTCATCTGTCAAGCGTTTGAAGCCAGGTTCGTTGAACTCACACTCCAACCACTCGTTTGTTTTCAGCATCGACGTTCTCACCACCCAGAACTGTTTTCACGATATCGGCAAGAGTTGCCGTGGGCATGTCTACATCTTCATTCTCTTCTTCACAACTCAAAGGGGTTGTTGTTAGGTTGTTTTTTGCTTTAGCATTAGGCATAAGTTTTCTCCATGATTTTGTGAGGGTTGACGGTTTCACAGAGTCCCATGCAGATGCAATATCGTAGATGCAGTCCAAGATTGTGTAGTGTTTCCAAAACGCTTTCAGATCATAACCTTCTTCAATTTTGGTCATTAGCAGCTTGGTTTGGTATGTTCTCTTCATTGTTGCAATGATTCCTTGGTCCATGGGTTGGATTAGCGCAGTGTTTGGGGGAACAAACTTTGCAAAAATTTGTCTATCAGAAGACTTTAGCATGCTTGTTGCTGGGTGAGAAGGTGCGTTGTCGATCAGTAGAACAGCTTTTTCAGGCAGGTTTTTCGATTTAAGATGTTTACGCACTTGAAGAACAAAGATTTTTTCGAACCAATCTTGAAAAATGTTTCGGTTCATCCATTCTTTTTTTTTTGGTTAAAGTAATCAAAGGGCAAATTTTCTATCCTTGTGCCTTTGAAAGATCTCCTTTTTTATTTTTTTAATTTTCCAATGACAACACGTATAAGTTTATGTCCACCGGTAGCGTTACTGCAAGACATGATAGTGATCATTTCCTTGCTACTTTTATGACCCGCCGCTTTACTTTCACTTTCAAATGCTAAAGTGCGAGTGGGAAGCCATTTCCACAAAAGTCCCGATTTGTCGACATTGTAAATTTGTTCAAAAGATAGCTCTTCTTTTAAAACAAATTCTTCAAATTCATGGTGGAAATCGTCGGCTGCTTATTGGTCACCATTAAGTTTCTCCCAATGAAGTCTAATTTCTTGAATTCCTTGTTGCTGCTTAAAACGAGTCAACCAGCCAGAAGATGCATCAAAAACTCCTTTCAGGCCTAACAACTCAAAAAAGAATTTTGCCTTCGCCGCTAGGGGCATTTACAGGAGTACCCTCTTTTCGAACTTGAGCTAACCACTCTGTCAATGCTGTGTCTAGCTCATCAAAGGTAGAACCCTTCATAGTTTTTCGCGTTTTATTGCGGAAGCACTGTCCGACATTGATGCAAAGTTCACTAGTTTGTCTTTTTG